ATCCTTGACTCTGTTTTTCTTCTCTCTCTGCCTGTCACTGTCTGATTTTCTCTATCCTTATCTGTTACTTATTTCTCTGCTTCTTTCTCTGTCTCTCTCTGTCAGCCCTTCACTCTTGATTCCCTATTTTGCTTGGTCCTTCTCCTCTTTTTGTTTCTCTGCCTCATTCTCTTTCTATTCCTTCTGCTGACTCTTGATTTCTGTCTGACTCTCCCTTTTCTCATTATTGTCTTTCATTTTAACAGAATATGATCTATTTTTATTCATCACATTGGATTAAAATTCTATGGGCTTCATTAAAAATATATTAGCTAAGACATTTTAAAAAATGGAAGCCAGTTTTTATTCTTCCAAGATTCCTGTCAGTTATTGATGCCATAACCTGACAGAGTTTGAAGGACTTATACCACTGGGCTCTGGAGAGTGTAGTGCACAGGGTCTGTTCTAGTATTAGAGCAAGAGTTAAGAAATTCAGGTGCTAATGCTCTCTGAAGTAGGTCAAAGAAGTCAGTTCAGGGGGCAGGCAATCTGTGGTAATATGTGGTCAGAAGTATGTTTGGTGGTCTGGAGTTTAAGAAATCAGTCAAGGTAAGATATCCAGGGAAGTTAGACTACAGAAGATAAGGGTACCCGCAACCGAAAGATAGACATTTGCTTGCAGGAATTGTTGATGACATATACTCAGAGAGGGGATAGCAGATGGCTGAGGATGAAGAGAACAGTGGCCATAGCTAGAGAAGCTAAGAATTAGAAGGACATTATTAAACTATGTTTTAAGTAGCATTGATAAAAATTAGTAATTATGAACAAATAAAAGATTTAGGAAACTCTTAAAGACATTAGCCCAATGTGCTCTTATAACCACAAAAGTCAATAAATACGTGGCTGATCCTTATTGGGAAGGATATTGAAAATATTATGCAGAGGTCCGTTCATCTCTAGGATGTCTTGTATCAATGTAAAAATTAGTGAACAGTATGAAAAAGAAGACCTAATTTTATTGAAAAATCAGAGAACTTGCATTGAGAAGAGATCAAAAGAGAGACTAATATGGGGTTTTATTTAAATCTAGCCACGAAGGATAGGATAAATACTATATTTTTCCATCAAACCCTAGATCACTAGAAATAAGAGATACCTCTTAAAACTGTCAAGAGGTGATTTTAGGACATGTAAGTTTTTTTTTTTAAAGATTTATTTATTTATTATTTTAGAGAAAGAGAGAGAGAGCATGGATGGGGAGGGGAGGAGGAAGAAGAAGAGAGAGAATGTCAAGCAGACTCCCTATGGAGCATGAACATGACTTGTGGGTCAATCCCAGGATCACGGTCCAAGCTGAAATCAAAAGTCAGATGCCTAACTGACTGAGGCATCCAGGTGCCCCAGGACATATAAGAAATACTTTATCAGACAAATATCATATGATCTCCCTGATATGAGGAATTTGAGAGACAGAGTGGGGGGTTTGAGGGGTAGGGAAGGAAAAAATGAAACAAGATGGGATTGGGAGGGAGACAAACCATAAGAGACTCTTAATCTCACAAAACAAACTGAGGGTCACTGGGGAGAGGGGGGTTATGGTGAAGGTGGTTGGGTTATGGGCATTGGGGAGGATATGTGATATGGTGAGTGCTTTGAAGTGTGTAAGCCTGACGATTCACAGACCTGTACCCCTGGGGAAAATAATACATTATATGTTAATAAAAATAATTAATAAAAAATACTTTATTGAGGTAGCACTAATAATACTTTATACCACTATGGTACTTTTTAATTTAAAAAGTACTTTCATATACCAGGATGCAAACAGTATGAAATCAAGATTATTTTAAGGTTCTTAAAGAAAAGAGTAAATCAATGCATAACATAACTTGAATGTATTAATTTTAGTTTGCTAAAATTGAGATAAAATTTTTATATAGTGAGATCCACAGATTTTATATGTTCAGATTGAAGTTTTGCTAAACTTACACATTTAGGTAACCATTGCCCCAACCAAGACATAGAACATTTCCACTGCCACCAAAGGTTCCCTCTTGCTATCTTCTACTTACTCTTCACTATATATACATATACATGTATATATTTTTATAAATATATAATAATAACAATAACTATTATTATTTTTTGAGAGAGAGAAAGCATGAGAAAGGGGCAGGGTGAGGCAGAAGGAGAGAGAATCTTAAGCAGACTCCATGCTGAGTGTGGAGCCAACAAGGGGCTCAATCTCATGACCCTGAGACCATGACCTGAGGCAAAATCAAGAGTTGGATGCTTGGGGCGCCTGGGTGGCTCAGTAGGTTAAAGCCTCTGCCTTCAGCTCAGGTCGTGATCCCAGAGTTCTGGGACTGAGCCCCACATTGGCTCTCTGCTCAGCGGGGAGCTTGCTTCCTCCTCTCTCTCTCTGCCTGCCTCTCTGCCTACTTGTGATCTCTCTCTGTCAAATAAATAAATAAAATCTTAAAAAAAAAAAAGAGTTGGATGCTTAACCAACTGAGTTACTCAGGCATCCCCACTATCTTAGTTTTTAATCCATTTTTATCTGGTTGTTTTTCTTTTTTATTATTGATTTTTAGAAATTATTTGTTTAGTCTGGACTGTATATTTTGTCAGATATAGTATGTATTTAGAATATTTTCTCCCAATCTGCTGCTTGTCTTTTCATTTCCTTATCACTGTCTTTTAGTGAGTAGAAGAAACTACATTTTGACAAACCTACCCAACTGTTTTCCAAATTGGCTCTACCAGTTTGCATTCCCAACAGCAATTTATAACATGCATTTGTGCCACATTCTAGTCCACACCGGATTGGTTCGATTACATTTTAGCCTTCTTCAGTTTGTGTAGTGGTCCCTCATTTGTAATATCCCCTTATATTTCCCTAGTGATTAATGAAGTTGAGCATCTTTTCATGTGATCATTCATCAGTTGTATAAATTCTTTGAAGTGTCTGTTCTAATCTTTTGTCCATTTTCTTGTTAGGTTGTTTGTCTTCTTGGTATTGGATCGAAAAGTTATTTTCCATATTCTGAATATAAATCTTTTATCAGATACATGTTTTG